AGAGGAAAGAGAAAAAGGAAGGAAGGGAGGAAGGAAATAAGGAAGCAAGCAAGCAATCTGCTAAGTTGGATGATGTGTTTGAGCTCTGGCCTGTATTCCTGCCTCAGTAAGATTTCACTTGGTGATGATCAGAAACAGCCTCTAAGTACTATATGGTCCCATTAATCTAGTGGCATCAATGTCACTGTTATTTTAAAAAGTTGCACTTTGACTATTCACTTTGAAAGTTGCACTTTGGCTTCTGGGAACCTTTCTTGCATTACTATCAGTTAACAATTTGGAGCAAAACTGAGTCCTGGAATACAGCTTTTAGCATGATCACCTCACCCTTAATACTGTTTTGCTCATTAAGGCCATTTGGATAAATACGCATGATGCTTTGATGGTTGTTAGGTTGCTGTCTGGTTTGGTTTTAGGGGAAATGTTAAGTTCATAAGCTTCTTATCACTCTTTTCCCTGGTCTCATATCCCAGTCCTGTAAGTCTACAACCTTACCCAAGTATGAAGAGATGCTGGGGGAAAAAAAATAAAACCAAAAACAATGCAAAAAATCCCCACCTGATTTTAAGTATCCAGACTCACAAGAAACTCCTTACCTTTGATGAGAGGATGAGTATGATTATTTTCTATTAATATGGTTAAGATTAGAAGCCTTCTTGATTCGCTTAAGCTAGAATGGAGCTCATAGGAAGAGAACAGCTTAGGGAGCGTCCCCTCTTCCTTAGAAAACTAGGGACACTGTGCTTCCAACTTCTCTGTCCTCTAAATATGTCTAGCTCTTTCCACTCTCTCTCTAATTACATAAAACATCCACTTAAAAATGTCCCCTTTGAGACAGAGGTTTCCATCTGTTTCTTCCCCATGGCCTAATATCAGGTAGAAATCATGAGTCATCAGTCCTTGGCTAGGGAAAGGGGACTATTTCATCTCCACTGAAAGCCAATCTTCTCCTCCTGAATATGCTCTATATTTGGATTTTCCACTGCCATTTGGACCTATGATAAGAGCAATTTCATCTAAGACTTTATTCTTTCTCTTGGGGGCTGGGAACACGAAATGTGGTTTCTCTGGACAAATAAAATGCAGCAGTTAAAAAAAAGTTTATTAATTTTATGTTATCAGAATGAAAGGAAATTAACATCTCTCAGTCCACCTCCACACATATGAAAGAGATGAGCTTCTGCTGTCACAGTGATTTAGCACACCTTTATTAAGCACCTGCTGATTCACTGAACATTTGTATTACTTTTCTGATACTCTTAGAACCTGTTGACGTGGCTTTCTAGGTAAGTTGCCACTGTCAAAGCCCTCTGATGAATGTGAATACGTGTGCTAGTGGACTAGTTCGTATGTGGCACTGGTCTCTTGCATTTCCACAACTGTAGGGACTCAGATTTCCTTGAGGATCTGAAATAGCCTAATGCTAAATCCAGGTCCTACCCTGGTGAGGGTCTTACCATCAAGGAGTTAGTTGCACCACACCCACCAAGAGAGCATGTTCTGCCTGGGTTTGATTCTCGATAGTTCAGGAGAGTGTAGCCCTGTGCATCATGAACTTATTCATGATTGGCAGGAGAGGCCATGGATTCTTGCCTCAGGCCTATCTCAGTGTGGTGTTTGGAAGCTTCCCTGCTAAAGGCAAAAATTCTAAGATGCTCACTGCTGTTTGTAAGAAGATATGGTACAACAGGTAATTAGACCTACATTGGCAAAAACCCTAAAGTTCCCGTCCCATTCTCCAGAACCAGCTCCTCTTGTTAGGAATTTCTCAGCTGATAGCATCTCTGCAGATTATAGAGAGGACAGAAGAAAGAATGCCTGGCTTGGCCTACAGAGATCATGAGCCCTAGGGCGAGAGGTAGCCTGGGAGACTGGGCATTGCTTCAGGGAAATGGATGCATCCCAACCTTGTAAGTTACTTTGTTTCCCAGCCCAGGGAGGGGGAGGCAGCCTTTCAGTTTTTGTGTGGGGAGAAATCAACCTTCTTTCATTCTTTGACTGGTCACACATTTACTGAGTTAACTGTTACATATCAGGATTTGGACACACTTCTCACTTCTTGCCTTTAGAAGGAATACAAAGTATGTTGTTAACCACTCTAATGAGTGAAATTAAAAGAGGCCCACACAAAGCATTATGGGACTGCAGAGGGCTGAGGAACACACTGCCGGAAGGAACTACAGTGGGTTCTTTGAGCGGGCAATATTTGTTAGGTTTTGAAGATAAGTACAAATTTACCAGGCTGCAGATGGGGAGGAGAGGGCAAAAGAAGGAGGTATTTTAGGCAGAGAGTGTCACATGATTGAAGGTGATGCCAAGAAGGCATCTTCTTGATGCCAGGAAGGCAGATGTGCTCAGGAAACTGAATTCCTACTGGGAAGGTTTTGAACACTAGAATGATTGGTGGCGATGGGCAGAAAAGTGTTAGATGGTGGGAGAATGAGTGGAAGATGTGAAAATGCAGGCAGGGCCACAAGTCCAAGGGCACTCTACCGGATGCAGCAAGGCCAGCTAGCACATCCAACTGGGTGCTGCGAGTCTTATAAGGATTTGCAGCTTATGGAAAGATTAGCTACAATGGCTGCTAGGGGCAACCTGGGAGAAATCTATAGTTTTCTAATTATAGTGAAGTCATCTCACTGTTCTATCCTTAAATTACCATTTCAAATCAATTAGTTAAGGGAAAATACAATCTCAGAAAACATACCAACACCAAAGCTCTACTCTGGGGTCCCGCTGGTGTAGCTTTCAAAAGCTACGGGCTGGGCTTCCCTGGTGGCGCAGTGGTTGAGAGTCCACCTGCCGATGCAGGGGACACGGGTTCGTGCCCCGGTCCGGGAAGATCCCACATGCCGCGGAGCGTCTGGGCCCGTGAGCCATGGCCGCTGAGCCTGCGCGTCCGGAGCCTGTGCTCCGCAACGGGAGAGGCCACAACAGTGAGAGGCCCGCATACCGCAAAACAAACAAACAAACAAAACCACCGGCTATGAAACCCATACAATGTTAGGCCATTTCCTTTTCCAGATGTGCTCGGAGGTGAATGCGTATCAGCAAAAAAGAGCAAAATGAACAGTCCAAAAGGATTGTAAACTTTTCTTAAAGCTCTGAGCATCTACCCAATGAAGTTTGGTAAAAGCAAAGGCTGGACGGTAGAAGGCTGTCTAGGTCTTTGTCGGTAAAAAGGCTGTAAAAGGACTGTTTGGAACGGCTGAAAAATCCTCTTCTGACTACGGAAGTGTACTATTGATATTTAAAAATTTGGCTATTGCTGGAAGGGTTTATGTATTTACCTTTAGACACTCAAATGAGGGCATCATAAGTGCAGCAGCACTTCTCCAGGACTGAAGTTTATGGGATTTGAATTTTATTTCCAATTATTCTGTTACCAACTAAAGAGTACATTAACTCTGGCTTTTTAGAGCAAGGGTCTTTAACTTGCCTACGAGGACGGCATCTTTAAAATGTTTTAAGTATTATCGTGCCAACCAGTTAGAGAAATGTAGCAGTAAATTAACGCTAAAAGGTGCCAACAGATTCCTCCACCAACCCTTACAAGGTGCTAGGGTCAGATACTTCTTAAGTTTGATGGAATAAATGAAAAATGTCATGCTTAACATTTAAAATCTATTTTCTGTAAACAAATAGGTCACAGTTTAGTGATAGTAGCGGTAGGAGAAAACTTGTTCAAAATTATTTCTTTGTAAAGGAGTTCTCCACATTAACAAGCTTGAAATAGAACTTGGCACAGAGTGGGTGATCATAACCTGATTAGATTATGAAAGACTTTCCATATTAAAGTCATTGGCGCTAACTTATAGTCAAGAGGAGTTACTAACTGGGGTGGTTTTCTTCTTAAAAATCCCTCAATTTATTACATGATGAGCTCGTTATGCCTTTTTACCGTATAAATCAATAAACAAAACAAAACGTGGCTGTGCATCTCTGGTTCCGATGACAGTGTCTGTACAGACGGCAAAGCATAACTTTTCAACATTTTAATCATGTAGAACAGCTGTATGTATTTCTATTACCTGGATATTTTTTTAGACAGTGTTTATAAACTTGTTAGGGAGAAGGTGCAAAATTTTCAGATTTTAATAGGCCTATTTTAGTGTCAGAAAACAGAAACTGATCTTCGGGAAAATGCCTTCCTCTTAAATTATTATTAATATATTTGTAAAAATAATGCCCTCCCCACCCCAGATCATCAGTTCACAAGTATAGTTCTTTTTCCTTTTTCTAAATAAATTGGTCTCTATTACTTATTACATAAGGACATTGCTTATCATTCTCAACTACTCATTACCTATACACATATAGTATACATACACATGTGTGCAAGCGCACACATTCATTTTTGCAAAACGTTTGGAGGCTTTTTAAAAAAACAAATTTAGGGCTTCCCTTGTGGCGCAGCGGTTGAGAGTCTGCCGATGCAGGGGACACGGGTTCGTGCCCCGGTCCGGGAGGATCCCACATGCCGTGGAGCGGCTGGGCCCGTGAGCCGTGGCCGCTGAACCTGCGCTCTGCAAGGGGAGAGGCCGCAACAGTGAGAGGCCCGCGTACCGCAAAAAAACAAAAAAGAAAAAACCAAAAAACACCCCAAAATTAACACCCGTTGAACCTTGGATAAAAACCTAATAAAATCCTATCTTAAAACAAGTTTATATCAAATCAACTTTATTTTTGAACACTGTACAAACTTTTTCCCACTTCAAAAATCCATGATGACCATCCAGTTACACACCAAGCAATAGAATCTAGGCTGGGCAGAAGAGGCTATATAGGCTGATTGTCTTTCTGAGCTATGCTTCAATTGCCCTGTCTCTAGATATACTAACTCGCAGGCCACCTTCTTTTTTTTCCCTTTATTTCTCTGAGAAGGGCAAAGCATTCTTGAAGACTTGTTATTTTCATGACCAGAGACTTTTATGTTTATGGAAAACCTGAAAATCGGAGACAGCCCAGAAAATAACAATCATTTCAAACCAGAGACAATGCATTTTTTTCCCTCATTTATTCAAATTCACTGCAGGAAGTAAACACTAAAAGATTAAAAAACACAACAAAAAGTTCACACTGCAGTATGTACAGTTTCATGACATCACATGAAGAAATTAAATTTCTAATAAAAATGACAAATTATATTACTGAGCATATCGCATCAAAATTGGTTGTGTAAACCCCAGAATTCATACCATGAATGGTAATGTGCCTGTACTCCAGTACACTGGAATACTCCTGGTATATTATTATGCTTCCAATGGGATTAAAAAATTCATGAAAGTAGTTGTGTGAATTCTTTATGTTGAAAAGTGGTTGACTTGATTTAAAAAGTTTTAAGACCCTTGGATTCAAAGCACATTCTTTCACAAAGCTTAAACCACGGAAGTCATGTCCAGAAATGGAATACTGTTATGTTGGGATGAATATCTGATCTGACTGCTTAAGACATTTTGCCAAATGCACAGATGCACAGGGTCCCCCATGCACTTTTCATGCAGCAGGTAATCACAACTTAAATAAAAGGCTTACTCTATACATTTGTCCAGACTTGCAACTGTATACACACATGCACAATTTTTAAACCTGTCCGATTATATTTACACTTATACATGGAATATACAGAAACCAAAGAGATTAAAAGGCTTTTCTGTTGTATTAGAACAATACAAAATATGTATTTTTCATTAAGGAAATCACTATTTACATCACCTTTAAAAACCAATTTTAACATCTTCATGTAACAAGTCAATATATATATATATACATATTATATATATATATATATATATAAAATATATACTCTCACCAGTTTACTCTTCTGTAAGATGCAGCAGAGAATAAACAGGTAATGCTACCTTACTGATGTCAATGAGAGCTGTAGTACCCTTTCACAAATGACTTTATTAGGAAGAAATTGTCTAGATATCTAAAATAGTCCTTGAAAATGTGTATATGTGCATCCTTGTATCTACATATGCATAAATGAACTGCATTTATGGATGTAGGCCCTTTCTCACCGCTCCTCTTTAAAATCATACTAAACTCAAATTGGGGACACTCCAGTGAATCAGAACAGGTTTCTTCGTGGTCATGTTTATTTATATATGACACGCCTTCGTTTCTTTGACTGCTGACAACAGTAACAACAACAACAAAACAAATGACCAACCAAAGAAACAAACAGAAAAGGCAAAGCTGGCCCTTGATGTTCTTTTTCCTGACCTAAGTTTCACCCCCTTGTAAAAGCCCATTTTCCCCTAACCAAGGGGGAATATCAGTATTTTTTTCTAGCATACTTCTAAGGCTCCAGACCTTTCACAACGGCAGAAAAAAATGACTTGGTTAAAAGCTTATTTATACAGTGTAGACAATAAGATTGTCACAGAATAAAGATGGGATGGAGTTGGATATCTTCACTGGCCAGTGGAATTTTCATGATGTAGCATAATATTCGCTCCTATTATTTTATAATATATCCAGTAACTATTTACAAATTATTTTGAGAAAAAAATAATCATTTAGGGTTTTAGATCATATTAGGAAATAACGCCCATTTTTAATATAAAAATCTTAGAAACAACCTCAAGTAGAACAATTTCAAATAGATTTCCTTCTAATTAACAGTCGATTATATAACAATTTTTTGATAGGTCAGTTGCTAACTCAGCTCACAATTAAACCCAAAAATATCTGGTGAAAGAATTGTGGATTGTAAAAACTGAACTGAAAAGCATGGACTTGTTTCAAGATAGAAACCCCATGCGGCTCGATAATACATTAAGTTCTTCCAAGAAAACATCAATGTTTACTTTTAATCACTATTTTAAAATAACAGATCCGATGGAGTGACTGTGTACAAATCTGTCATGTATATGTGCCCTTTGTACTTTTTTGTTTAGTCAATCTGAGTTTAGTGCCTTTCTTGGGTTTGAAATAAATGTTTTCATCTTTGTCAGCACTGTTCTTAGGACAATGGTTTTAAGGGAAGTTAAGGATGTATTCAGGAGGAGTTGCCAAACCATCCTGGAATCACCTGAGTTTGGTAAGTGGCCCTGTTATTCCATCCCTAAGGCTAATTAAGTAGATGTTACTCATTAGAACACACAAATAATCACAGATTTTCCTGAGATGTTGAGCCAAATATGAAAGTTGTCCCCTCCACCCGATTTTTTTTTTGTCATAAAAAGTATTCTGAACCCGATTTCCAAAGACATAGCAGTAATATATGAAGTACAATATTGCAAATTTTGAGTTGATGTGTGACTGTACTGGGGAAAATACAGGCATCAAATAGTTTGTTCACAATCCTGTGTTGAGAGAAGTCATAGGCAATGGTTTCAATTTTCAAAATTCAAATTTCAGTGTGCAGAAGAAACACCTAGGGAGTATATTAAGATGCAGAAGGAAGATTCCCAGGTCCACTTAGCAGAGGTTCTTGTTCTGTAGATCTGAGATGCTGCCTAGGAATCTGCATTTTAAAACAAGTGCTCCAGATGATTCTGATGCAGGTGGTCTGAGTCCAACTTTAAGAAACCCTGGTCATAAGACTCACAGGTACCACAGAAACGGTGAGAAGTAGCTTTTACAAGAGATGGTGAAAACGGTCCAAAGAAAAGCCATTTTGCTTGTTAAAAACAACTTCTTATTTCAACTATTCAGGAAACCACCTGAAGATACATGTTAACTTTCCTAATTCTGTAAAAGGAGGAATATTAATTTAGTAAAGTAGTTAAAATACAAAAATGGAAATCTGCCGTTTTTTTAAAGATCTATCAAACTTCCATCAATTGTAATCAATGTTTACTAAGTAGTACAAGGTTTAAAGAAATATAGTATATTGAAAAGGATTGGGGTGGGGCAGGCACATTGAGGAACCACAAAACCCCTTCCAAGAATTAAAAATAAATGTGTTTTCTTTCCTTTTTTTTTTTTTAGCAAAAGTGAAAAATGTAAGCATATTTTTTTCTGATTTGTTTTTGAACTGAAAAAATGAATCAGTATTAGGTTTTTTGATTCAATAATTATCCTTTAAGGAGTTATTATTTAACAATTTGGACTTTAAAAAAACGTGTTATGTACGCTGACTTCTGAAAAGCAAAATAAAGTACCCTAATAAAGGCAGCAATGCATTAATCCACTGTGGGTGGAGATTCACATTTTAATTTATGCCTATTATTTATGATTAAAAAAGAATATCATTCATGGGCTACTCACAGTTGTTGTCTGATGCATAAGAAGGTGTTAAACAACCCATTGCTAGTTCAGCAGCTTCCTCATGACATCTAATGTAAAGCAAGAAGTAGTATGCATATTTAAACATCACAGTAACCAATTCTTTTCAAAATGAAAAAGTTTCAATTATACCATGCTTTTCTCAAATCATGCGCTTATTTATACAGATCTCAAGTTCATACTAGTTAGTTTTAAAAAGATCCAAAGATGGATGGCAGGTACATTTTATTCTGATTCTTTTTTTATTGTTAGCACGTTTCCCAGAAGTCCATAAACTTCTCCATTTGCACTGTGTGGGCGAGAGGCATTATTTCCCATATGGCTATTGTAAGTGCTTCTTAAATTAAAGAAAGAAGCTTTAGTTTCTGCAGCAGGAAGTAACTCCTCTTTGATTGTAACCTGCGAGATACTTTCAGCAGATGAAGGCTCCCTCCAAATGTCCTTGTCCTGTGTTTCTCGACTGGTAACAGAATTGCCTCCCTTCTGGAGCATGTAATACAGTATTGGGTTAGTTTTGGTCAGTCTCGGAGAGTCTTTCTCATACTCATTCTTATCCACATCTGTGATAACCCACTTGATGGGTCCCTTCTCACTGGGCACGGAACACCCATTCGCAAGCCCAGATTCTGGTCTAGACCCTGCGCAGCCCAGGTGCTCAGGGAAAGGAGGGCTCACAGGAGGTTTTCCAACACCGGGGTGTGGAAATGTCCTGTGGCCCATGCAGCTGTTGGGCTGAGCTGCACTGTACATCAGTCCGTTCAAAGGAGAAATGCTGAATTCAGGCTTGCTATTGGTCCCAGTGCTTCTGTGTCCTTTTTTTCTACTGTCGATGACAGAATTACTCCTGTGCTGAGACAAATCTCTCACACAGTTTTCAGAGAGAAGCAGCTGTTTCAGAACGTTGAAGCTTTTGCTCTCTCTGGCCCAATTCCTGTGTTCGCTGTCACTCGCTGAACCATGGCTGGCAGGATATTTAAACTCAAGATCATTTCTGCTAAGCTTCAGCTCTTGCTGGTTAAGCAAGGACCCATACAGCACCTTCGGAGCACTGGGACTGTTTGCAGCATCGACTATGTTATTTCTCATCTTTTTAAATGGATTTTCTAACGGCTCAGTATGAAGCTTCCTTTTTTTAGGGACCATGCAAAGATTCTTTGAGTCTACAAGTGTCAGTTCACTATTTCTGTGACTGCTGTCCAGGTCATCAGCCGGGTGACTCTCTTGGTTTTGTCTCAGCAGTCGACTTAGCAGACCGTTCTTAGAGAAAGAAAAATCCTGAGGTGAGACCGGCTCCGATTTGAAGTCCTCGGACGCTGGTAAGACAGCTGTGCTTCCCTGCAAGGCAGGAGCCACGCCTAAGAAGGGGGCACCCTGAGCGTCGTGGCTCAAGGGCACATTTGTGGTATGCGTATGCAAGTCATCGCAAGGCTCAGATTTTATTTTCACCATCAATATTTGTTCACTTAAAGCTCTATCTGTATGTTCCTGAGTACTTTCATCTCTTAAGGGCATCTTCTCTTTCTTTTCGGGCTTCCCTTTGTTGGGGTTTCCCAGCAGCAACTGGAGGACGGTGCGCCTTTCAAGCAGATTTTCTATTTCAGAACCAGAAAGTCCTGGTTCAGGACCTGTTGCGTGACTGCCGAATGCTTTATTTTCTTCAACTGCATTTGTTTTATTTGAGAGCAGAGGGCTATTCAGTCTATCAGTCATACCTGTAGGTTTCTCTGTGTTTACACTCAGCAGCTGTTTACTGGGTCTCTGCTCTTCCCCTGACACGGAAGACTGCATTCCACATTGCGCTAAATTTTGTAACAGTTTACTGGCACTGAAAGTGGCAGAGTTTTGTGTGCCTTCATTTTGGACTGGTTTCTCCCCTTGCGATTCTTTGCTTTTTGTAAGGTCCATCAGGTGGTTTGATGTGGTATTCGTTGGCTTTTCAGACTGAGGGCCACAGGCATACAGTGGGGAATTCCATTTGATGACCAGAGAGTGTTGGGAAAGGTTGACGGGAGACTCGGCTTTGGTGGATGCAAGTAATGGTGGAGTGCTCACTGGAGTAGTCCTGCTGGTACTAGGGCTTTCTATGACAGAAGTCCGCGTGTAATTATGTGTGCTGAACTTTGTCCCATCACTGTGTGGTTCCTGAGGGCTGTTGTTTCTTTCTACATTTTCTTCATTCTTATGGCCAAGTAGCAACTGAAGCAGGGTGACTTTCTGGTGCGAATTTAGCTTAGAATTCTTTGAGGTATCTTGATCTTCTTTGATATCTACTTCGGGGACTTTGGGATCCCAAGTGTTTAGCAAGGACTGAGTTAAGTTATCCAGAGAAACAGGCTGGTCAGGTTCTGGTTTTTCGATTCGGTGTTTGCAGGACAAGTCTATGGGAACACAGTTGGAATATGAACTTTCATCACCACTGCTATCATCTGTAAAACTAGGATTGTTATCTGAGTATTCATCAATAGTTGTAGGTGTACTGCTCTCCTCAAAAAGGCTTCCTTTCTCACTATGACTGTGTCCGTTCATTGGCTTAGGCATGGTCTGGCTTTTAAGGAGATGTAAAAGCAAACTGTTATTAGCAGCTTGTTTTGCATTGCTTCTTTCCAGTGAGTTCTTATAGCCTGCATTTTTGGGGGAAGAAGGAACAATACCCATCGGAGTCTGAAATGTTGTACTTTTGCTAGCCATTAGTTTGTTTGATGATGTTCTTGCCTGACCATTAAGATGGCCTGACATTCCTTTTGAGAACTGGAAACTGCCCACATCCTTTTGGCCATTTTCTTGTAATCTGGCCATAGCAGCAAGTCTTTCACTTGCCGCCTGATTTGCATTTTGTGTCTTTAAAGCGTGTTCTCGAGAATACTGCTGTAAATGGGCTTCGCTTGAAAGGAGTAATGCTAATTGGCTACAAGCAACACTTGGCTTGGGTGAAGTGGCAGGACTAGCCCTTTTTTCCACCATGCTCGCGACAGCCTGTAACCTCGCAGCACATGACAAGGGTTCACTCATGACCTTTGTGCCACTCTGTCCAACATGATGAGGTGACTCTACGAACCTATCTCTGATGAGGTTTTTAGTTACGTCAGGGAGACTGGTATCAGGCTTTTGATCTTTAGCTTTACTTTTCTTCAGCAAAGTTTTTAAGTGACTTGATGCGACACCGTAGCACCTTAAATCCTTCTCCACTTTTAAAGAATTATGACTGAGGGCGTATCCTTGCTCCTTGAGGCTCTGCCTAATCTGTTGTGACAGAGCAACAGTCTGCAGCCTAGAGCTGAACGACTGAAGCAAAGAGGCCAGTACCGTGTTATCCTGTTTGCCTTTAGGCACACTGTCAGCCATGCCAGCCAGCAAAGCTTCCTTCTTTACGTTTAAATTTACGATGGAATCAGACAGCCTCTTCCGCTTCGCTGCATTCCAGTCCTCAGAAGACTGCAAGAGTCTGGCTTTTTTGAGATGCAGCATGCCAGATCCCTGATATGTATGTGTATTGAGAACTGGACCATTACTTTGACAGGTGGGAAACGCATTACCAGAAATGTTAAAGTTCTGATCTTCTTCATTACAGCCAGCAGACTTTTTGTCGATGGCAGTACCTGATCCCTCTGCTGCCTGATGCATTAGTAATCCTTCTAGGTAAGTTAAAACAATAGAATCCTGGTGCACATCAGAGCCAAGCTCTTCTCCATGAGTCATGTTCAATAGAAGTGTTCACAAAGGCTTGGTTTCTATTCACTTTGAAGAATGGTTTTCTGTGGGTGAGTGAGACGTAACTTCAATTAGTGAATGTCGGTTTCTCACCTTCCATAGTAATTAGACAGAGGTGTACTGTTCCGTGCCGACCGGGATTGGTCTGCTGGTTGGCAACGACGAGACAAAAGGCAGGCAGGCTCCCAGCGCAGCCTGACTGCAGAGTTGATAACTCCCAAGCAAGAAGCAGCAGCAGAATTCCTCAACACACAGGTCTGCAGCAGCAAGCAGATAGAATCCTTAGTGAATATACTGCTTCTCCTTCTTCACCTTTTGTTCCACAATAAATGCAAATATCAGTGTTCTATAAAATAAATAAATAAAAATAGTTAAGGAGGTGAAGCATTAGAATTATGCTGTGATACCTGTAAGCAGAAAAATACAGCACTTGTCAGTTTCTAAGTGTATATGTACAATATACATATATATGCATTGTAGCCACTTCTTCAGTAATTTATGTCATTGTTATTCCTATTAAATTGGAAATCTCTACTGGAAATCCTATGGATTGATCCATATTGTTAAAATGATCCAGTCAGAGAAGAGAAAATACTTTAATGTTACATAACTGTCTTCAAAAGTCCACCAAGTTTCTGAATTTTCATAAACACCTTTCTGCAAAGTGATGTGAATGCTAAGTCTTTTCTGTAGCACCACAGCTCTATGAGAGGCTAGAACGAGCTTCCTTATGTTATGAAGAGCTTAGGAAGGAACAAGAGAAGTATCGAAAAAGGAAAAGAGATCCACGTGACATGGACTCAATCTAACGAGTGTGATGTGAGGTTGAGGCCGACACAACGGATTCACTTCTGATATCATCCCCCAAACATCAGACATCCCATAAGTAATCTGGAGCATTTCCGTTTTCAAAGACTTGGAAGCCCTAACAAGTATAAGATTCTTTTGTAGGCCTGTGCAAATTGTGAGTCTTAGTGGTACAAACGTTTACATATCATCACAAGCTTATTCACCCCTAGTTCTTACCACAACTTATTAAAAACAGAAGAGTGATCCTTCAGATGCTCCTTCAGGTCTATCAAAGGCTTAACGTATCTGTTTTAAAATCCCCACACATGTGCTCCATGAAGAATTTTTTAAATGAGGTCCATTCCTAGCAGATGCAGAATACAGGTTACAGGTGAATCTATAGCCGTAAGTTTCTAGAATGTTCCTAATATATAATAAAATACTCCTCCTCCCTACCCATGCTGTCTCTTTGTGTGTGACACTGTTATCAATAAGGATAAAATGTTACATGTGATTTAAAAAAATTTTTTAGAAGACTTAAAAATTAAAGTCATTATTAAAAAAAAATGTATTAGGGTACCTGCACCAATTTTTAGTTTAGAAAATGTGGTTACTGTAACACATAAAAGTATAACTGTGTGTTTACACTAAGCTATCACATCATCCTGTAGAAGAGTGGGCGAGAAACAAATTTAGAATAGACCTGAAGGAAAGAGGAATAATCGTTCTCAGAAAATTCTAAGTTAAAGTGGTTATTTTTCATTAATTTCTTTGAAAAGAAAATTCTATAAACAGCACCAATTACATGAACAAGAAGAAAAAGAGCTTTTCATAAAACCTGTTTTTTTAAAACTTTTTAAGGTTAAAATCGTTTGATTTAAAGCTAGTATTATTAACCTGACTCATTTTCTTTCACTGGAAAGGCAACCAACCACATTATTTTTGAATCACCGACATATAGTTGGCTTACTTGATTTTACATACATATTACTTAAGAATGCTGCCAAGTGTTGAACACTACCTGAGTACGGTCAGTTACAAATACCTAAATGTCAACACACATTTAAAAATTAGGCTTTTTTGGAGATTTGCAAGCAATATATTTAACAACTGGAATATTTTACAAAATACTGTGATTCATTAGCTTGTCAGTGGATCTACTGGTTTTTTTTATTTTTTAATTTTTTTGCGGTACGCGGGCCTCTCACTGTTGTAGCCTCTCCCGTGGCGGAGCACAGGCTCCGGATGCGCAGGCTCAGCGGCCATGGCTCACAGGCCCAGCCGCTCTGCGGCATGTGGGATCTTCCCGGACCGGGCCACGAACCCGTGTCCCCTGCATCGGCAGGCGGACTCTCAACCACTGCGCCACCAGGGAAGCCCCCTATTGGTTTATTTTTAACTTCAACAATGATTTTAAATATTAGAGCTTGTATACATGTCTATTTAAAAATATTCCATACTCTCTTCATAAACAAAATAAGGAAGAGACTTAACTTGTACAGCAAACACTTGTTAAAGTGATTTCTGCGGAAAGGGAAAAAGAATTATCCAAAATATTTGGTTTACGGAAGGTAAGAAGGACCAAAGGGAGTAAAAGTACTGAGGGGGCAGAAAAAAAAAGAATAGGAAAAAGAATTCAAAGGAAGGTCTCACAAATTTTGCAACTCTCATGAGGTTTAGAAGGAAAAATTCAGTTTAGAAACTAAAATACATTAATAGCCTGTCTTTAAACATTAGGTTTGTAGGCATGATAGGCAAAATGAAGAAAGATTTCTTTAATGTATTTAATATTTCTTTAATGTATTTACTAAAAATACACACATATATATATATATATATATATATATGTGTGTGTGTGTGTGTGTGTGTGTGTGAATGGGAAAAAAATAAAACCTACCCAGTGATAAATTAAAAGCTGACTGAACAATGTCTATTTCAACTTAGCTGTCATTTTTATAGGGTGATTCCCTAAAATTTTTAGAAAAAGATTTTCTGGTTTTAACAAAAAATTTAGTGTAACATTTATTATACCAAGAAATGACTTAATTTTGATTTTGGAATTATCAGTCTAAATCAAAATCAGCTCTTTATAATTTTAATGAATTCATTTAACCCTCAGTATACCAAGAAAAACAGTCATCACCATTTACCATCTGGGTCCAATGAACATTTCACCACTGCTTAGGTCAACTTATGAATAATTTACAGAAGAATAAAGAGATAATGTAAAACAACTTCGTTAGAATTTTTAATAAGAATTTACACATGGCAAACCCAGTTCTTAATTCTATATTTTCCTGGTTTTGAAGGATAACATATCTGAAATGGGCAAGGCACTTTGGAACTGATAGCTCAACTACTGTCATGCACGAACCTGGAAATACCCTGTAAATACCAATTCCAGATTTCAAATACATGTCTAAAAGGTTCTAGCTTAATCATCACTTCTGAGTCTTCTTCTTGTACTTGTATAATTCAAAATGTGTTACTTTGGAAAACTTGGACAGCTCAAAATTATACTGAGGAAAGAGGGACAGAAATCTTCCTTGTTATGTAATTGCAAAATATTTTTTTATTTTTTAGATTTATTAATACCAATTACAGTGATCAATCCAAAGAATTATGTCATTTTCATGTCATCTACTTCCTTCCAATCTCTTGTTACACACCAGCCGTGTGTATTCGTACACTTCTGTTTCAAAAAATGTGGGTGTGTCAACAACATCATAAAAGAACCAAGATAGGGCAGGCAAGGTTCTTGTCACAAAATACTGAATGAAGTCCTTCCTAATAAGCAACTAACTGGAGGAAAATACTGTTATTTCCTTTTTGTCTTTAGGACTATATTGTTATGGTAACTATGTGAAGTGATGGATATGTCAACTAACCTCACTTTGGTAATCATGTGCATATCAAATCATCACATTACACACCTTATAAAATATGATATGTCAATTATATCTCAATTAAGCTGGGGTGAAAAAGAACTACATTGTTCACTCATTGATCCTTGAGTTTGAGAAAATTCATCTTGGATACTGTCATCTGAAGACAACAGTCCGAGATGTTGCTTATACACTCAATGTCACCATCATCAATCATGTATAGAATGCTACTATCAGTCTCTTCGCACTCATCCAGTGACTCATCTAATTGAAGCATCTTCCTATGCCAACTTTCTTCTCTTTAACATTAGGGATGGAAAATAAAAAATACTGAATTCTCAACTATACTTACTACAAATTTAAAACAAAATAGAAAGACTACAAAGATAATCTCCGAACATTTTTTTACACTCTTGAAAGATAATACAGTATTAACAGGCTATGCTATTAGAAAACTGAAGATGATACAATAATGATGACATATTTCACTACTGCATCATCTTTCTAGGCACTTTCATGAACTTCCTTTGGCTTATAATCTTAGTCTTTATATCATACAGTTGGAAGTAAATGATGAATTAATTTCCAAAATGATAAAAGGGCAAAATGATTAAAGATACAGGAAAAATAAGATCACTAAGATTCCATAATGTATGTTTGAGTTATAAAAAGTTCCAATGGATACACATGGTAATAACAAGATATAATTTTTTTTCCTATTGAAAACACATTCATTGAAACATTAAAAAAGAATAAAAGTCATATAATACAATCCTTCCTACCAAACAAACAACTTCAAACTAAAACTGGGTTCAAAGAACCCTGACTGTATACCAAGGGTTAATGCATTTCAAGATAATTTAATAAAATTCATGTATAACCATTTTACAGTGTTAAAATTATAAATGAAATCCTTTTATTAATATAAAATTGTTTATAAGCATAAAAATATCTTTAAATTTAATAAAATTGAGATTTTATTGGTCCACTAGCATGCAGCGAAAAGAATTATTGTTGTGGCAGGACAGAATTATTAAAAATAAAAATAAAATCAAACTAAACCATAAATGAATTTCAAGCAGTCTTGGCCATATGCATAGATAGATTTTGGCAAAGATCCAAGTTTCAATACGCAGGCTAGTTTAATGAAATACCTAGTAAAATGCTTGAATTCAAAGTACGTTTTTCTAAAAAGCTACATTTAAAAAAAAGAACTTGAAAAATAAGACTCAACATAATGTAACTTTTTTCTTAGCGCTTTAGTTCATAAAAGACAGTTGTAAATAATTTGCATATTAACAATTCCTAACTAGGTGTTATATTGATTCTCTAAAGCAAAATATTTCCATTGCACTGTTTTACATTTTCTATTTGGAAATGGTTTATTAATAAGCAAAGGGAAAATTCACTGAATATTTAAACACTTTTATAAGTGGTAAAGTCCAAGTAAAAAGATTTTACTTGGATAAATGAAGGACGCATCTAATAGGATTCTTATACGTGGGACTACTTTTGGTTGAAAATACATGAGAAAGGTCTTTCTCTAGCTGTATTTAAGGAAAGGATTCAGTATCTCACTAGTAATCAAATTCTCCATTAAAAACACATTTCAATGATTAAACATCTATGAAGTCACTTTGTATGCTATTTAAATGACGTCTAATGAACACTT